ATATATTATATAAATATATATACTGTATTAATTAAAAATAATAATTATTATTGAATTACTATTATTATTGAATACATAAATTAATGTCTGTGAGGCGAAAATATATATGAAGAATATATATATATATATATATGAGAACAGGAAATAATTTATTTATAGAACAAACAAAAACTATTTTATAAAAAATGGAAAAATAAAAAAACAGGAAATCACTCTAAAAATAAGAAGAATATAATATACAAAATAGTCTAAAAAAGTATGTAGAAATAATAATTATTATATAACAAATTTTATTTTATCATAATTATCATATAATGAATTTTTTTTTTAAACATTATACAAATGGAATGAACACATGGAATGGTAATAAGATTTTTCACCTTAAATTTTTTTCATTTTAATTAATTCTTATTGAAATAAGCTTTTTCGCTAAAAATATGAACAGGAATGTTTAAAGTTAGAATTACAGTGGTTCTTTCTTCTTTTTTTTTTTCAGATAGGAAACGAACCGACGTTTCTGGAAAGACACCGGCACATTTCGAAAGATGATAATTACGCTTTTACGGTACACGGCCAAATCTACATTGTGTCTACGAGGCGAGTCCTCTCGCGGCAAGACATAGGAAATCGCGCAATACTTTTAGGCTCCCCGGTACACACATTGCGAAAAAGTGAAATGTGTTGTACCATTGCGTTTCCATTGTTGTGTTATGGAAGAGACGTAAAACGGGGCAAGGTTGAATCTCTGATTACTTGAAAGACTTCTACATTGTACTAATTCCGAATTTTCTATATTCTAATTTCTTTACATATCTTTATATTTTAGATTCATCAGAAAAAAAATTTTGAAGTCGATTATTACAAATTTCAACTAAGAATTGTAATTATTTTATTCTTCATTAAGATACAATTATCAAATGGAAGAAAAGAATTATATTAAAATATTTAATCATTGTTTATCCAAACATTGGATAAAACTGACTTTGATTAATTGATTAGTTCCAATAATAGAAATTCACTTAATTATCCTTTCCTCGTGTTTTTTAATGCAAACGGTATAAACTAAAAAGTTCAAATAAGATACGTGTATTTTTTCTAAGCTAATACATAATCTAATTTTCTAATTTGTTTTGTAGTTTAACAAAACATACAATTTGTCGAAATTAAAATGTTTAAATCTTCTGTTTTAAAAACTTCCGATTTGAAAAAGAAACAATGTGATAATCTGTATCGATTAATCATAAAAGCTAGGAAATACAGGAAGAACTCTTGGAATCACCGATTAAAAGCAAATCAAATCACCTGGTTGGGATTACCAGTTTATGATGATTTGAATTGGCTTCGATAATCTCATCCAACAGAGAAGTACCATTATAATAATAAGCTGTTGCATATATGTATCTACAAGATTGCGCAATCGTTGCCACACACAGCCGCGTCAACCGATTGGTATCAATGGCAAAACATCTCGAGGACAAAAAGCACGAGGAACAAGTAGGATCGATGGTTGAATTACACTGATGAAATGAAAAGGGAAGATCATACAAGAAGATAAAATTACGAGGACGAATAAAAGAGTGGAAGAATCGTATAGCGAGGCGGACCCAAAATGACTGGCAGAAGTGTCTGAATGGGCTCTGGTTGTTCGTACTTGGCCGATTCATGGCATTCCACTAAAGTGGTGCTCACGGTGACGAGCAAAAGAGCAACGATGCATTTCCCATTGTGAAAATCTGCGTAATACGACTTTGTTTCCCTCAGCACGGAAGATTCTAACCTTCTGTCTCTCTCTCTCTCTCTTTCTCTCTCTCTTTCTTCCTCTGTATTATATCTGGTTTAATTACATTTGTCATTTTGTGACTGTGGTGTCTCATTACGAAGAAAGTTCGAGATTTAACTCGACTGCTTGCGAACCTAGGTGGCCTCTTTCTGGTAACGGCACTAACCAACCCAACCAGACAGCCAACAACGACGACGACGAAGGAACGAACGAACGAACGAACCGACGAAGGAACGAACGAACCAACGAACCAACGAACGAACGAACGAACGAACGAACGAACGAACGAACGAACCAACCAACCAACCAACCAACCAACCGACCGACCGACCAACCAACCAACCAGTCATGAGCCCCCTTTTACCTTACGTATAGCCCTCCGCGTGCCTCTCTTCGCATCGCCGCTCTAGATCTTCGGATAAGAGCGAACACCATTTTAGCGGTTCCTTACACACCAGACATCCGTTCCCTTCCTATATATACGTGGCTACGGGAGAGCTCGCTGCATTTTCTCCGCGCGAATGTGTCAAGCGACTGGGAAACAGACAGAGATAGAGAAGGCGGATCGTGGAAGGTTGGTAGGCGGAGGGAAGGGAGAGATGGCGGGCAGAAAAGGACAAAGAGGTCGGAGGGAACGGGTAAGGGAGAGAGGGATCGAAGTGTACGATAAAGTGTGAGAGAGAGAAGTGAAATCGGAGAGAGAAAAAGATGTATAGATATATAGCGAGAGTGAGAGAGAAAGGGAGAGATGGGCATGTCAGTCGAAACCTTCTAATCCCACATACAGGTGCTTAATTCGTTACGTGAGACCGGAGGAAGCAGAAAACGGGATACTGTACCGTTTTCTGTGATAACGAATAAGGGTTTCGTCGTTCTCCTCTTCCTCAACCCCTCTATGCTCGTTTAATTAAACGTTGTGTTAAGTATATTCGCCATAAAGCGACAACGTTCGAGATATGCGAAATAGATTCACCATGAAAGATAAAAAAGATGGGACATCGCGTAGCGTAGAAATTTCGATGTCTTGGGTCGCGTTAGATTAGCTTTTTGCGATTAAGGTTCAATCGAACTCGGAACTTTGATAATTTTCTATTTAAGTGGATATCAGACGAGGACGTGGGGAACAGGTCACATCCGGGTTAACGTAATTACAAATTAATTTCGTTTTATTAAGTAGCTCCCGGCCGAAGAACGCACGTATGGCTTATCTCCGAGACTACTTGGAGAAGCACCGTATTCGGGTTAATTCTGCATTTAATTGGTGGCTTAACCGTATATCCACGGTTTATTCGGACTATCGTGAGAAAAAAGATATTAATTTTTCACGAGTAACTAGAATTCCCGCAAGAATTTGCACTTTATGGAAACACGGGCAGATGAAGATAACGATAATTGCGTAGTGTGGCGGCCGCGGAAAAGATTATTCGAAATGGTTCAACACGGTGAAATATGGTATATGTTGGATCGTTGCCTTCGAATACTTCAGTGACCCACAGGTGTGTACGGGTGGAACTGCCTTCGAGTAACTGTACCAAAACCTATGAATTTTTACGGCTAAATTATATTCCAATTATAGAAGATATTTTTTCTCATAATTCTTTTTTTATTAATTATCGCTGATTAATGTGATTATATTACAATACTATAAAAATTTTAATGATGATAACCTTCTGTCAGAGATTGTAGTTATTAAGATTTAGATGATCTGTCATTTTTTAATATAGAAAGTAATGTAATCTATTCTTTTTTTAAAATACTTTCTATAAGATAGGTTCCTAATGATATATTTTGATATTATTTATATTAAAACAATAATATCAATTAAATATACTTACATTTCAATTAGAGTTTATTTTAATTCAGTTACAAAAAAATGTTTTCTAAGTATCTAGAATAATATTCGAATCCACAAAATCCTTAAAAAATCACTCTTTTATTAATTATAAATTCTTATACGCTTAAAAACCAAAAAAAACCAATCACAATTTGCGTATATATTTACAAATCCCTACATCGGTTAGTTGATCGCACATAAAATCTGGCTTTGCTGATAAGAGATCCCCGTTTACGTGTGCGTCTTCTCTCTCGTGCATACACGCAAGATTTCCTCGTCGTGTATCGCGTATCTCTTTATCCTTGTTCCATATCTTTCCCTCTCTCTTTCTCTCTCGTACTCACGTCTAAACGTGTATACGCGCACGCAGATGCCGCGTGTCGATGTGGGTAGGGTTATTAGCCCAGAAAGCAAGGCCCCTGCTTCCGGTAGGCACTTTAGTTCGAGAGTTTCTTAACCCCTTCTTACACGACTTCTTGCTGGCCTGCCCTGGCCTAAGACTCTGCCCCGACTTGGCCTGTTGTCGGTTGCGGGTGGTAGAATTTCTCGTCGAGAACGAACTCCTGGGTCTACGACGAAACACTCTCTTATACTTGCATTTGTGTGCACGGTATGAACGGATCGTAGGGTAGGTAGATATACTAGGTTAGGTCGGCACAGTGGCGAACCGAGCAATTTTTCCCGCGGTCTAAGGTGGACCCGACATCGAACGATCGTAAATTTCGCGAAACAGAGGGCGCACGACTCTGACTCGCGATCTTGCTTATCGTACGCTACCATGATACTGATGCAGATTTTACCGTGTTGTTTTGGGATAGTCTGTTAATATATAGAATGAAAGAGAAAAAAATTTTAAATTTGGAATTTTATATTAAAATGTAAAATAGAAGGAAGAAAAAATAAATATTAATAAACAGATCATTTGTCGTATAATAGAATCGTCAAAAGAATTACAGGTAAGTGTTTTTGGTTAATAAATAATTTAGGAACGAAAAGATTAAAAATAACGATTTCAGTTCTGTATTTTATCATTATTTTTCGATATTTTATCAGAAGATTCAATTATTTTAATAATTTCTAAATATCAGTATTGTGATATGCTAAAAAAAAAAAAAGAAATATTTTTTACCTTGAAATACAACTTTCTTACCTAAAATAATGTTAGTCTAATGTTCGAAGTAGAATTGTTGCTTGTTGAATTCATAGCCATTCGTTTAATGACAATTTTATTGCGCGAAAAATGATTAATGGCACGTTATTTGCTCGCTGAGGGAAATACTCGGTGATAGGTTAATGGACGTAAAAAATGAACAGGCTGGCGTAAAGCGGCAGAGAGATACGAGCCTCGACGATGATAGATATGGTTTAACCAGTCGTAATTGTTTTGCGTTCGCTCTTAATTGGGGCTACTTGTTCGTTACGTTTCTTCCGAATGGGTAAGAAGCTATGAAGTTTTAATAAATGCCTTGATCGAGCTGTTAACATGTTCTGTGGGGAAACAGGTAAAAAAAAAAAATCTTCAATTCGTTAGTCAGCTTGTATCGTCATTAATAATAAACACAAAAAACGAAGAATAATGGAATCATAACTTGAATTCACAAATCGATCGTAAAATAAAGGTTATTTTTTATCTCTCTTTCTCTCTCTCCTTCTTCATTCATTGTTTCACTTCAACGATGTATTGCAGGTAAATATTCAAAAAATTTTATTTTAAATTTGCTTTCATTTCGACGAATTATTTTAATTTCTTTTTTCAATTTTTAATTATTTAAAATTTTTTCAGTTTTATTATTGATTCAAATGAACAAGACCATTGGATAGCCAGACTTTCCACATCCTGTGTTTAGACCTTCTGAGTGATTTCTAGGTCAGATAACAATTGGAATAACTCGATTGAATTGGTATACCGATCAGTGAGACGGCAAAGGTGATCGGCTCGCTTTCGAAAGTGATGACCCCAGGGAGCGGTAAAGATGCGTGCAGGTGCTTCCTCTTTGCATTTTATACCTAGAACAACACTAATGCGATGAAGATTAGCTTACTTAAGTTCCCATGAACTATTTTTGAGCTTAATCGTTTGCACTGATCTCCTGTTATACGTTGTATACGTACGCCAGCTAGGTTGTAATAGATAATTACTCCTGCGACCAGGTAGGGGATAGACGTTCCTGGATCGCTAATGAGCTTCTGGAATATTATCGATGCTCACGGTAATGCTTATAACTGCTTTTCAACTGAGATTGTAAATTTTCCGTTGTTCACTGATTTCTGAGGGAAAGATGCACGCCGATTATGCATTGGTGGAATATAATAATGTTTTAAAGATACCCTGTTGCTTCTGAACGAAGAATTATCAGTAGATTTGCCAGAATGAAGCGAAGACGGACATATATATATTCAGAAATGCAAAGATATTCAAATAATTGCTTCTTACGAAATAGAAATGAATATCGTATAATTCTTGGAAGGAAAATAAACTGTAGTAGGTATTTCATAATTCTTTTCTTTTTTTGAAATAAAAAAATTTTGAAACAAGTATTTTAAAAATGAAAAAGAAGAAAGTTATTAAGGATCTAAGCTTAAAATTTAGATAAAAATTTTTTTTTATTATTTTATGTATATATTAAGAAATAAAAATATATCTATTAATAAAATTTAACTTCAATTAAAAAATATATTATTATTATATTAATAAATGGAAAAAATTTTAAAAAAGTTAATTGAGCAGAAGAAAAAGATTTCAGATTATGTATATGTAATAATTTTTATAGTAAAAAAGAATAGATTAAAATAAAATAGAATATAATTACCATATAAACATGACTAATATGATTCATCTATTTTTAACTTTGTTTTTTGTACTTTAATTTGTGCAAATGATTTCCAATACTCAATTTAAATATCTTCAATCAAGACCTTGCAGCTACTTTGCCTAATAAAACATGTATCATATTTGATCAAAGAAAATATTTTTACAGCAAACATTCATAATTATATTCATTTATATACCGATTATACATTTCATGGAAATTTTTATATTTTATATTATATTTAATAAAAACTAAATTTTCAATATCTAACTCAAAAATATTTTTTAGCAGATGAAAGACAAAACACAAGCTAGAATAAATTTTCAATATTGTCTGGCATTTTCACAATTTTTCAATTTATTCATCATTGACGGCCATACGTAATGAGTTTCTCGGGTCAGAGGTGAAGGATCTCGATAGTCGCTTCTTTATTATCGTTTTTCCTTTTCTTTTTTTAAATTATATTTCTGAGTTCTTTTTCGAATAGTAAGGAAACCATGCGTGCGCGTGGGCTCGCGGGCGAGAACACGCATTATTAAAATAGTTTTGTAGAACGCGATTTAATCGCGAAATTACTAAAAATTACCGGCAAGGTAATAATACGTGACCGCATAATGAATTTAAAGTAACTCGTAAGAACGATATTTCAGTCTTCAGTAAATCATCTATAGATATGGCACTATATAAGTAGAAATACATTGTTTTTTTTTCGATATTCATTCAGATTTACTTTATAATTCTGATGATTAATCGTTGGAAAATCGTAGTCTTAAAAAAAAATTCTTGATCATGCTTAATATGAAAAAATTAATCTTGTGATATAATTTTAATTTTATTATTAAAGGATCAATATTTATATAATAAACAAATTGAATATTGAAAATAAAAAAAATATAAAATATAAAACTTTTAATATTAAAACTAAATTAAATTAAAGTTAAACTTTTTGTATTCATTTGTAAGATTATCTAAAAAGTTATGGTAGAAGAAGATATTAAAAGTTTGATCATTTCTAAAATATCATATATGATTTATGTATCAAATCATTTATTAATTTATAAAATCAAGAAAGAAGAAGAAAAAATAAATTAAAATTATAATAATTGATACTTCATGTGAAATTAATAACGTTGAATCGTACAATCAATTTACAAAGATAAATTGCAAAAATCATAAGACGGATGTTCCGTGCCCTTTAATTCGTAGCATGATCGTATAAATTCATTAGATTCGCAATTTTTATACAATGAATTAACACACATTTATTTAGATTTATTACATGTGATATGTATGATTCATTTTAAATAAAGTTCCTATCTCGTTGAACCTTTTATACAATGATTTATATAATTTATTTTTTTTAGCTTGAAATGACTATATTAAAAGTTTTATTTCTTTTAATAACTTTCTTCTATAAACTTTCATTTATTTCATTCGAAAAATTACAATGATAAAATATTAACGACAAAATATTTTTCAAATCATAATAATCTTAAATGATAATAAAGTATTCTTCTTGAATTCCAGATGATTAAAGCACGAGCATTAGATTTGTACATAAATACTCGATCTTGCGTAATAGAAAAACATTGAATTGTGATCCCTTGACGAACTCGAAAAAATTACATGGCGAAAACTATTGCAACGTCGGAAGTGGCAATGCTCGGGAAGCGTACGGTTCTCAAAGGGTTAATTGGGCATAGTAATTCTTCAGGTGACCAAGCTCCATGGGAGTGGAACGGAGAAAACCCAGTTTTATGCTTCGCATTAAGTGCTTATATCTATATCTTTATGTTGTATCTGCTAATTTATAAATATTTAATTGGCCAACTACGACCCTTCGCTATAGTATTACCTTAAATGTTTTTTTTTTTTTTTTTACAGATAAGTTATCGTAACATTTTCATGCAATGAGGAGGAGGAAATACCATTGTCGCGAAAACGAAGTAAATATTATGTAATATTGGATGAGTGACAGCAGCTTAATTGTTACTACACCTATATCAAATATAATTATATTTTTCGTTAAAATTCCATTATCTTGTCATCAATTAATTAACTTCTACATTGATGTCGAAATAATCGAATAATTTTTTTTACAATTCTATAATAGTTGATTTTTTCAATTAATTTTGGGATAATCTTTTCTATGATGATATATTAAAATTTGGAATTCATAAACAGATTTTAAATACGAATGAAAATTTACTTTTAAATATTTTAATTATTTCGATTGTTATTAAAAAAATTTATATTACAATTAACATTTATTACAAAATGTGTAAATGTAAATCAAATCTGAAATAATTAATGATAAATTTGACGCTTAAACATCATTGATTTTTAAGTAATGTAATTAAACATACAAATACAAATGATATAGATATTTATTTTGTCCAACCAATTTTTCTTCAACCAATTGTTAACGTATTTGTACCTGTTCCGAATCGATTGCGCCCTACTCGGAATTCGAGCCTTCGTTATAGTTACTGTCTCCAATCGTGTGTGACAAATTATTCCAGCGTCATATCCGCCAATGGTTCGCGAAAACATTTACAAATCACCTTCCATGCAATCCAATATATATTCCTTCGCATTCTATTCTTCTTTTCTCATCATATACTCATACATAAATAATATAACATAAAAAATATAAATAAGTAAATTAAAAATAAAAAAGAATATTAAATTAAAATACAAAAAAAAATCAACTATAATAAATAATATGATAATAAATAATCACATCGAGACGAGATTTCAAGAAGCAATGTTTCAATGAAACAATTCTGCAATTCTTTGCAACCATGCAACATCTCATGAACTATGAATTGGCTCGTAAAATCTCTTATCTTTGATCGATTATTCGGCCTTGACTGAAAAAAAAAAAAAAAAAGAATAAAAAAAAATAAGAAGGATATTTCGCAGTAATGGTCCGGTCAAAAATTCTCACGATCACGTTGTCGTTTGCGCGGAAACATCGCGAAAAATATAAAAATAGATGCAGCAACGGCTAACCGTGGAGGTTAGGAAAAAAAAGTATCATCCTTGCGTGTCGGAGGGGCTGAGGTCGCGAGGAGTCGAGGAGTCGAGGAGTCGAGGAGTCGAAGAGCAATGCGGTCGAGGAACGAGCCCAGGCATACACGATGTGCGCCGCGTATAAGTCAGCACTCAGGATATTTCGTCATTTCCTGCTTCTCACGCGATACAATCTAAATTAACTATGTTCGCTTGGCTAGGCCTCCTCCCTCGCAGAGGCTCGCATCTCTCAAGAAAATTTCTTATTTCCTAGCAAGGAGGGCACACGGGGCGACGTGAAACGACGCACAGGGACTTCTCTCGACGAACGGCGTCATGATTGTACGATCATGATCGACGATCTCATTAAAAAAAAAATCTTAGTTAAAAAAAAAAAATAAATATACAAAAACTTAAATGTTAATTGTTTGCAATATTCATATCGTTTTTGATAGATGATTTAAAATATTCATATTCCATTTCTAACCTAAAATAAATACGAAAGAGTTTAATGCTTATAGAACTACTCTTTGTACTTTTAAAAAAATAGATATAAAGAAATTTAAATGATTAAAGATTGTGATGAATTAAATCCATCGTTATTATCTATCTAGGATGATCGCGATTTACTATGCAGATACTAAAAAACAATATAATCCAATTAGTACTATTTTGAAGTTTCTTTTACCGTTAACCTTACAATGGTTATTTCTCTGGTAACAATTGGCACTAAATATACTTAATTCTCACATAAAATTTAAAAAAACTCTTGTATCAACAGATTATCTATTGCAAATTAAATATTAGAAATTCAGTTATAAAACAAATAACATTCAAGAGATAAAAAAATTATAGGTTAGAAATCGAGCAACTATTATATATACTTTGATACTTCGATAAAATAATACATCGATACATAAAAAATGCTATGAATTTTTCAAACAATGCAATAAAATAAAATTGTTATAAAAAAAATTAACAACAGAATTTGAAGAATCAAACTTACATTAAAGTTCTTCGAGATATATGGAACTCGAAAAATAAAACAAAAGAACATTCACAATGCAGCAGAGACAACAATAACGAAGAATGAGAATGGTGCCGAAAACAATCGAAGAAGTATAATGAAGAAATAAAGGGATCGATGAAAGCTTCGATAAAAAATCTCGATTATAATCGAATATTGCAAGGAGACAATATGACGACGAAAATCGATAATAATAAAAAGAATAAATCGACTGATTGAAATCGTGGCGATGATGAAAGTTCAAAGAAGACGAAGACCTAGGCGGCTTTCACAACCAGACACGTAAATAATTCACCTGGAAAATCCAGCTTTAACGTTCCCGCGGCCGGAAGAGGTTCGCTAAGGTGTTCCATGAGCGTCGGGTAGAAAAAGGAATTTCTTGGAAAGAACCGTCGCTAGGTTAACTTTACTCGACCATTTGTTACATTGGCTGTGTGACGCTTTAAAAAACATTGCCGTTGCAGATTCTAATTCGTCGCGTTTCACCTAGGGGAGAGGTTAGGTTGCGTTACGGTTTGAAGGTACGTGCGTCGAAGGAAGTAGGGCGTAAAATACCATGAACTTTGAACTGTGCATTTTTGAAGAGAAATGGAGTGAAGAAAACCGCGTGAAAAGATTAAACTATTTGACATTTTATTTGACGTTTTATTTGACGATTATTTGACGAAGATATCCATTTTATTTCTATTTTAAATTTTAACAATTTGTTTTAATTTTTTTTCATCCTAATTTGTAATATAATCAGAAAATATTATTTTTAACGTAATAATATATGAATATTTCAATTTTGATCAAAATGATATATTATATTTTTTTATCCATTTATAGAATTTACAAGAAGTAATCAACAGAACGTTTTACTTATAGGAACATAAAATAAAGTGATGAAAATCAATAAATAAAATTGATTCCCTTAAATGGACCATAAATATTCCACCGAGTCATGATTTTCTTGGCGGCGTCGATTGTGGACAATCTGGCGAAGTCATTTAGCGATACGAAATGTTGCGTCATCGGTTAAACTGATTCGAGAGATATGTATCAGTGGCTATGGTTTGTAGTTCGTCATGCTTATAATTTCACTCTTATTTCGTTAACATAATTCTTACATGTGAACAATAAGTAATTTTATTTTTATGTAAAATAAATTTTTGAGAATGAAAAGTTTAAGATATATAAGATATATATAAAAAAAAAGAAAAATTATTTCCATTCTAATCTTATTCGCATATTTACTATCTATACATTAGTAAAATTTTTTTTTAATTTTACAATCAAATTATTAAAAATTTCAAATTCAATAATTCAATGAAAAATAAAAAAATCATGCTATTGCTTTAATATAGTTAATTCATAAATCAAAGATAAGATATTCGTAATGTCGATGTTCTATCTATATTCGGAGAAATTTGGTGGATGTCTGACTAATGATGGACCGCATCACTACCTGCGCAAAGTTCAATTTCTAAATAAAAATTGCACATGATTCAACAATAATTTCTATCTTTGACTAATATAAAAATCATTGAAAAATTGATTACATTAAATCATTTACTTACTGATTTATCCTATAGATGTATCTATCTCTAAATATTCATTATACGAAAAGAAAGAATTTTCATCAGGTCGATCCGATCGGTACTTCCTCAAGTATTTAAGATCAGGAAGTAGAGGGTGAACTTCAAAGAACATGCAAGGCAAGCAGAAGAAAGGAGATGATATCGTAGAGCACGGAAATGTTATGGCGTGCAAAGAACACGCGAAGAAGGTGTAAATGACCACTGCGAATACAGGACGCTAAAGAAAAGCAACGATACGGTATTTTGCGTCGCCGCGACGATCCTCTTTTTACGGCTGAATGCGTGCTGATGTAATTCTACTTTCTCTGTGAGAACGAATTTCACAAACCAAACTTCTCTGAGGTCTCGAATGGAGAATGCCAGCCGTATTGCTATCGTTTTTTCTCAGAAACTTGTTCGATATTTGCTTAATTTTTGTTTAATTTTATTACAAATAAGTATTTTCTGCAATATTTTTATCAATTTCATTATTATCTATTAGAATTTATTATTTAATTCATCATGTAATTTTAATATATTTATTTATATATAACATATATATATATATATATATGAGATTTATTTAATAATTTCCAAATAGATATAAATTTATAGTTTTATTTGAACTGAATGACAATTTTGACAGACTTTTTCTACATATTATAAATAAATAAATATATTCATCATATTCAATGAAAAAGAGAAACTATATGTAAAAGAGAAAATATATGTAACTTAACCTTCTATTTAACAATATTTTATAGATGATATTTTAATTTTGACGATTATAATTAAATTTTGAAATTATTTGAAATTAAACATAGAATTTATTATCTGCACGATTTTTAATTATTCTATAATTAAATCAGTCTGAATTAATTGAAGCACAAACACGATTTATTATTATATAACACACACTAAGAAATTAGGGTTAGGATTTAGGATACAAGAGACCTCTATTAGATATTGAAATAGAGGGAAACTGAAGCGCGAACGGTACTACCAATTGTCATTCGACGCGTAGACATATTAGGGAAATGAATCACTAGACTCTGTGTGCCTTATCAACATCGGTTTCGTGCGAAGAATACCGGCTGACTCCTTTTTACAGTTCGTTTGATTATCTTCCGATCGTGAATCTATTATCGTTGGAATACAATGCCAGTATACTAGACACACCGCGTTAACGGATAATGTTGGAATACGTTTTCTTGGATGATGTTCATAGAAAAATTTGCGCGAGCCAATCATTTCAACGAAGGGAGCCTACATCGCGTCGGTTTTTCAGATTATGGCGTTCCTTGACATTTTATCACGT